TTTTTTTTTTCCCTAAAGAGATGCTATAAACCATCAAATGTGTTCATCGCATCATACTGACAGTAAACTTAGCCTGTCCTTTCAGAAGCACTTGCATGGTATCTGACCATCTAGACTCTTTTTTAAACTTCTTTATTATTATATCCTAAAAGCTATTTTTCCTGATCATTTACAGGACACCTGACTGGAAAACATGAGCGACACTTCTCCATATCAGGATGTCCACTGTATCATAATCTTTCAGCAGATGAGTGCAAGGTGAGTGAGTCTCCTGTTCCAGCTGATAATTTTATGAAACAAAATGCCATGGAATGTCATTTTCAAAAGAAAGTGGAGATAGCATGTCTTTAGTGACATGGGTGTGTCGCATAATCTGTGAATTACAGCTCAGAGAATTCACCTAGACAGAAATAGAGAAGAGAAAGGCTTTGATAGAGTTTGCTGCAGTACTGACAGATGAGTTTGGACTTCCAGGTGCGAGCACAAAGCCGGGATAAACAAATTGAGGAGAGGATGTTGGCCCATCGGCAGGATGACAACAACAGACATGCCACCAGACACCAGGTAGGCAATCCGCACATAATAGAGTGCCTGCTCAGCTAGAAGGAGAAAAACTCAGCTTGTGGTTTCCAGTGACAAGCACTTCCTCTCCCTTGTCTCGAATGAGCTATTGTGCTGAGTCCTGGCACTCCCCATTTGTCACCTCCAGTGTGTTTGAGCGTGGGACATGCATTGTGTCCCTTAAGAGGTGAGCGCAGAGGTGCCATTATTACAAAGGAGGCTGGAGCTCTTCTCAGGATAATCTTTTCTGTGTGCTTTGATGTATATGACAACAGAATTTCTGCAGAACTATAATACTAAGCTTTACTCTGACTAAGTCCAAAAGAATGAAACTGGGGGAATTGCATTTTTCAGTTCATAAGCTTTGGAGTCAGTATGAATTTGTGAATAAGCTGTGAGCTTTTCCACATGATTAAATAGTGGATAAGGAACGCAGTTCTGTCTTGTGAGCCTAGGGTGCATTGGCAGAGAAAAGTATTTCTGAGTTTACACACTTGTTGCACCTGAAATGTTTTCTCAGCGGCGCTGAAAACTATAAATTTTAGTTTCTGAATCAAAAAGGATATAGGTTGCTGGGAGTGCCACTGTCATACTTCATCAGTGTAATACTTGAACAAAAATATTCTGTTGTAGTGTTCCAGGGATTTAATGTTGCATGTCAAATGTCTGTGACTTGGTCCACAAGTAACAAATGGAAGCCGGGACATAGGTCGTCTGGGGTTGGAAGGTGAATAGATAGTTTTGAAGTAGGTGAAACCTACCCAAATTTTCCACCTACTGGAGACTTCCACCTCTGATTTCTTTTAGGCACCAACAGAGAGACAGCTGCGGTACAAGGAGAAAGTAGCTGAGCTCAGGAAGAAAAGGAACTCAGGACTAAGCAAGGAGCAAAAAGAAAAATACATGGTAAAAGAAGCATTTTTATTTTTTCTTTCTTCTCTGGAATGAGACTATTAAGTGGGAGTTGGCTTTCTCAGACATCCTGCAACATTCAGCTGCAAAAAGCTGTGAGAATCAAGTTTACTAGCAGCATAGCTACAAAAAACAATTGTTTTATTTCTTCAGGAGCACAGACAAACTTATGGCAATACTAGAGAACCTCTGCTTGAAAACCTGACCAGTGAGTATGACCTTGAGCTTTTCCGAAGAGCACAAGCACGAGCTTCTGAGGACTTGGTGAGAATTCTGACTCCTAGTATGGTTTACAGCGCATGTCTTTATTCAGCAATTTGACTGTTTTCTGGGTTTTGTGGTACCTGTGCAGGAAAAATTGCGACTCCAGGGCCAGATCACAGAAGGCAGCAATATGATTAAAACAATTGCCTTTGGCCGTTACGAGCTGGATACCTGGTATCATTCTCCCTACCCAGAGGAGTATGCTCGGCTGGGACGTCTCTACATGTGCGAATTCTGTCTCAAATATATGAAGAGCCAGACAATACTGCGTAGACACATGGTAAGACTTAGGGCAGACCTGGTTCTTGAACTTTAAACACTGATGTGGGGCTGGAGATGTTAGGTGAGTTGTGCACTTGAAGGTCTTGTCTTTTCCATGTGATGAGAGAATATTTGGTGCAGTTTTGAAAGGCAATGTCACCCTAACTTTGTTTTCCTCTTTAGGCAAAATGTGTGTGGAAACACCCACCAGGTGATGAAATCTACCGCAAAGGCTCCATTTCAGTGTTTGAAGTCGATGGCAAAAAGAATAAGGTAACTGACCATGGTCATGGGCCAGCCTTGAATGTGGGTTCCATCTTTCACATGTGCAGTGCTCTGCTTTCCCTGTAGAACAACAGAATGTGAATGGCCTTTCTCTAATTTTAAAAGGTTTCTAGAATCTATTTTGTTCATTCTTGCAACCTATCTCCCACTCAGCTGCGAGTAGGGGCTCAGTACTAGTGCACGATGCTTGTGCTCTGTCTCTAGTTGTGTTTGGTCTGGAAGGCTTCAGAGACAAGAACAAACAAATTCAGCAGCTAAATTTTGCACTGTCAGATGTTGGGAGGAGTCTTCTCCAGTCAGTACAGGTGACCTTGAATTACAGGATTAATACAAATACAGTGCAAGCAAGCAGAGATCCTGTTTTCTTTCAACCTTCTGTTCCCCTTCTCTGAGTATGTGATGTCTCAGGCACTCAGAGATTGATGTCACAAACTTAATTTCCCATCTTTGAGAGTTCTTCTGTTTAGTACATAGGCTTATCAAGCTTCATCATAGATGGATTTTTTTCCTGATACAAGTGCTTTATCTGAAAGGCTGCATGTTATTTCTCAATTGGTTCAGGACTTTGTTCTGATTTTTCCATCTCTGTTTTTGTGCACTTCAGGAATGTTCCAATGTAATAAAGAGATATGCCGTGTTCTCTCTTTGCTTCTAGATCTACTGTCAAAACCTCTGTCTGCTGGCAAAACTTTTCTTGGACCATAAAACTCTGTATTATGACGTTGAACCCTTCCTCTTTTATGTCATGACAGAAGCTGACAACACTGGATGTCACCTGATAGGGTATTTCTCCAAGGTTAGTTGAAAAAAATA